TAGACAGTATCCTCCCATTTTACAGATGAAACCAGATCCCAGAGAGGTCAGGTGACCCCTCAAGTCACCCTTCATCGCTAGCAGTGGCAGTTTTGAATCCACAGGCCATCTGATGTATTTGACGTCAGCCGATTTGGTAATTCTTCTGGTCTCCCATGTTGTTCACTAACACAAACCGGCCTGTTTCCAGAAACTCTTAGAGAGGTGGTTGCAGTCTTTCTGGTTCCTCGCTGTATCACTTTGGGCAATGGCTTGCTCGCTCTTATCCTCATTGACCTCATGTGTCAAAGGAGGGCAGTCATAATACCTGCCTTGCAGATAGATGAATTCATGCAGACGCACTTAGCTCAGTGATGGGCGCGTGGCATACGCTCGAGAAATTAACATACTGCCTCGATGTCTAAGTGTAGAATCCAGGAGTAGGATGGCGTTGTATCTGGCTGAAACAGGGTGAGGCCCAAGTTCACACTGCCTACTTGAGGATACGGAACATTTCCAGAGACCACTTCCGCTAAGAGAAATCTCCCCTGCACATATGTGGCTGCCTTTACTTGCTCAGACATCAACATCACACTGGGTGAGCAAAGCCGAGCCGTTGGTCAGGCGGTAGTGAGCACAGGGGGAAGCATCCATACTGTCAGATTCGGAGCCCATCCGTGGCCATTTACTCAAGACTGATGTGTTGATTAGCATCCGGGTGGTCAGCGAATTCTAAATAACCGTGGTGAAGAGGCCTATTTTAGTTTCTCTATCCTCCTATGACCTCTCCCCGTGCTTGGTCTGCTCTCTTCAGCATAACCCACCTTCATTAATGAGCCTGGGGCTCGGGGCTTGGCATTCATTTTGTCTGGGCCCCAGGGATCATCCCTTATTCTCTTGATTATCTCATTCTTTTTCAAAGTAGTAGTTCCTTTTCGTCAGAATGAAAAATTGAAGTGAACGCGCCCGTTAGAGACGCCTTAGCCAGGGCTGGACACCTCCTTTTCAGTATCAAACACACTGATGGGGTTCAAGGGAGCAGAGACTTCCTTTGACGCCAAAGGAATGTTGAGAGGGACAGATGTTCTTTGAGGGCAGCCCTCACTCCTTGTTCCACACGGGGTCCTCCCCAGCTCCTCGCCCAGAGCCCTGCGGCCTGTGGCGGTGCCCGGGGAGCTTGCTCCCTCAATCTCAGCGGCTTCCATCAGTATTTGACTGGAAACAAAGGGCAATTTATTCATTCCCACACATGGTGTAGTGAACAAGATAGTCACTACCCTGTAGAACTTTTGTCCTAGTGAGAAACGCAACAAGTGATGGAAAATAAGTAAGAATGAGTGATTACTGCGTGCCACGATCATTTTGAAGGAAGTAAACTACGGGCTGAGACACAACAATGCACGTAGGGGAGGCGACTTTTCTAGGTGAGATGCTCAGGGGAAGGCTTTCTCCAGTTCTCTGCGGAGTTGACCTCAGAGCTAAGGCCTAAAAGGTAAGGAAGAACTGGGGACGACCCATCCAGGCAGAAGGACCCGTCCCCATGTAGCCCTTGAGGCCAGAGAAAGTACAGCTCGTTTGAGGATTTGAAATAAAGGTGGCCAGAGGGTGCCGAGCAAAAGGGAGGGTGGTAGGTGATGAAGCTCCAGGGGACTGTGGGGCCAAAGATGTATGGCCCTTGTCACCCCGGGGATTTTATCCTCATGCCACAGGCAACAGGGGGACTCGACTGGGTCCATCTCTATATTTTTAACGATGCTCGTTGCTGTGAGATGATGGTGGCCCGGATTGAGGGACTGGACTTGGGTCACACTAGTGTTTGAGAGATGAGATCGAAGGACGGGTTGTGGACAGGGAGTGGTGAGGGGGAGGAAGAATCAGGGATGAATCTGCACCTGGCGGGAGGGCGGTACCACTCCGGGGACGGGGGAGACCGGGTGTAAGGAGAATAGGTTCGCAGGTTTGGGAGGCTGGGACTCGACAGTTTTGTTTTGGTTGACATTAAGGTGCCGATTTCCATGAGCCGATCTGGAACCGGGATATAAAGCAGGACCTGCCCTGGGTGTGTGAGCCTGGAGTTCAGAGAATTCTGGTCTGGAGACGGACCTGGGGGAGTCACAATCTAGAGAGGCTGTGTAAATGCGAGGGGACAGATGAGGTGTGCCGCAGTGCGGGACTTGGTGCAGCTGGTGAAGACGGCTCACGCCCCCTGCACGGCCAGGGAGGGTTTGCTCCTTCACAAGTCCGGCTGCAGCAAAACCGGAGAACCGCAGTTACTCTTCTGCAAGATACCCATTTGAAATTTATTTATGCCGCCAAGGACCAGGAAGGTGAGATGCTACTTTTGGCGCCACGAAACCATTTTCTGAGCTTGTTTTCAGAAAAATCCATATCTGGAGTGTGAGGGAGGCATTAGCGGTGACTGGCTGGCTGTGTTCTAATGGGTCAGGTGTAACTTAAGCCCAAACAAAGCCTTTGGGCAAGTAAATTAGCCCGAAGGTGGCGGAGATAAAGCAAGGGTGCTTGTTGTGGCCTCTGGATTAGATCAAGGGCAGAAGGGCTGCGCAGAAACTGGAAACCTAGAAGCCTTGACCGGAGACAGGCAGCAATTACTTTGTGAGAACTTTGCTGTCAGGAAAACAGGAAGGAGGATGTAGAACAAGGCTCATCAAACTTAAGGAATCACAAGGAACAAACGAGTAGCTTCTTCAGCAGGTAAAGTCCTTACTTCCGGGGGCGTACGATTGAGTAGCTCACGACTTGGAACCTTTAACAGGTGATTCCAGTGCACACATGGGTCATAAATGAGAAATACGGAGTCTGACAAGATCTTGAGGTCAGCTTGGTAGCCCTCTGTTACAAGTGGGGAAACAGAGGCCTGGGGAAGAGAAGGGTCTTGCGTGAAGCTGCCGAACAAACCAGAGAGCCAGTGCTGCTTTGATTTCTTCATCTTGCAGTTGACGCTTCATTCTGATAGATGATAACGAACAGGTCTCCTGATCCCCAGCACCCGCTTCTTCTCCAGAGGAGGATGCTGAGGGGTTCAGAGGGGAAGTTACTTGTCCAAGGTTGCACAGTCTCTACAGACTGACCATCTGTGACCCTAACGATTAACACCTCAACTGCCGGGAACATTAGGTATCAGGTCTGGAATGGCTTCTTTTTGGAGAAGGAACCGAAAGAGCTAACGACGAGGCGAGCATTGCTCTTTGCAGTGTCCCCGGGACCAGAACACCCCCCCTCCAGCTGGTCTGAAACCACAGGCTGGGCTGGAAACGAGGTGCAGTTTCTTCAGCCCAACTTTCCAGCATCCCGCACACTCGTCTCTGCATTCCCTCATCACAAAGAGCCTTTCGTCTTGAACTGTTAGGCCTTTCTTGTTTCTCAGACCACCTCGCTGAAGCAGGCCAAGGTAAATTCCTGTGGAGACAGGTCACTAAACCACTCCTGGGGAGGCCACTGTAGGCACTTCACACTCAGTTGCACCCCACCCTGTAGAGGAAGGGTGGACAGAAAGGTTCCTTCACCTCCTTCCTCTACCACTTCCCTGTTGGGGGCTCAAGAAGGGGCCAGGGATATGTTGATTCCATAAATCTCTGCTAAGACTTGAGTGAGCCTTTGAGTTCCTGAAACACGGCACCTATTATTAAACTGGTTGTGTGCTCACAGAATTTATCACCACCCGCTGTGGATAATGTTGGCTTTCATTCCCACCCCTGCCAGACAGGAGTGGCCTTGCTTGGATCTAGTGACACAGCTTATGTATGGTGGTGAAACTACTTGCCTGACAGCTGCAGACACGTGTTGAACTTGCCCACTCCTGGGCTCTGGTGGAGAGAGAGGACTGTAACACGTGCTGCCATCTTTAAGATCATGGTGTACCAGGGACTATGCTACCATCATGATAGCCCTGATCTCATCTAATTCATAAAATAAGCACAATGAGACATGGCTGTCCCATCCCTGTAGGTGAGCACAGCCTGGAGAGACAGGGACGAGCCTGAGTCTCAGCATTTGCAAGAGGCAGAGCCATGTTTTAACCACAGATTGAGCTGGTTCTCAAACCTGTGCTTTGCTCCTCTGCTCTTCTGTGATCGTTGTTAAGACCTCTGGAGCCTCATTGACTGGGTTTGAATCTTGATTCTGCCACTTGCTAGCCATGAGACCCTGGGCAGGGTTCTTCACCACCTTGTTTCTTGGCTTGTTCATCTATAACATGGGGATAATGATATATGCAAATCATAGGCTTGTTGCAAGGATTATATGAGTCGATGTATGTAAAGCATGGAGCATCTGGCACCTAGAAAACACAATATAAGTGCTAGCTTTTATTATGAGTTTATATATCAAGTCCTGTTGTTTTTTTCTCTGGATGATGGAAACTTAATCTCAGAAGTTTCCAATTACCCCTCGCACTCCCTGCCCAAGGGCTGTGTCTGCATTCTCGAGATGCCTGTGGAGGTAATCCATAGGAAGTACTTAGAGTGGTGCCTGGTGTGTGATTAGCTCCCGATGATTATTAGTAAGACAAGTGCCAGACACTGGGGGTGCCCGGGATGGCATCTGATCCACGGTGAGCATCCATCCTCCCTGGTGTGGTATCCAGAAAAAGATGCGGTCACCATCCAGACGCTCGTCTCATGGGTAGCATGAACAAGGGGACAAGAACTAGGGGGCAAGCATTATTTTGCCTACACCAAGTGGCTGTTATTTTAATGCCCTAACAACGAACCGATATGTAATTTGTTGAAAAGATAGGAGAGATGAAAGTATTATTGGTTAAGTTCCTGGTCAAAGCACAGTAAATCAGAGAGATTGGCACTTACTTGTCCAGAGATAAAATATCTCCAAAAAACCTGGCGGCGTGCTGGTCATGAATGAATTGGCCCTTTCCAACCGCTGCCCCCACTCCAACTTCGTCTGGCCACAAAGCCTTCCCTTCTGGGTGACCGGAGAGGCTGGGCTTCTCGGCTATCCTGTGCTGACCTTGGCTTTGACGTGACTGTACTCTCCATTTCTCCTAGCTTAAGAGTTGGACAGTGGAGGACCTTCAGAAGAGGCTCCTGGCCCTCGACCCCATGATGGAGCAGGAGATTGAAGAGATCCGGCAGAAGTACCAGTCCAAGAGGCAGCCAATCCTGGATGCCATCGAGGCTAAGAAGCGGCGGCAACAGAACTTCTGAGAAGGCCTGGCCAGGAGGGCCCCTGCCTGTGCTCCAGGCCTTTGGTGAACTCTGGCTGCTCGCCACTCAGGCTTGTCAGCCAGCACTTCCGCCCCATCGTTTTTCCACGGCACCTTCACCTCCGTGAACTCAGGAAGTGCACCAGTGGGAAGGGCTGCCTGCCGTCAGCGCGCCATCTTGTGTGTGTATTTAAACCGATCGGTTCTATTATTTCAAAGGATTCATATCAGCGCTTTCAAACTCAGAGTTTTTAACCCCAGAAACAGAGACTCCTAGATGAGTGATAGCTGGGAAAGTGTTACGTTGTCTTGTCTTTCCTCTCCCAATGGCTTTCGATTGTTCTTTCTGGAAAACTTTTTAAAAAGATATAAATATGCACATATATATAAATTATAACTGGATTCCCCACTGAGTGTGGTGGCATCTCTGTACAGGTACAGTTTTAAACAGTTGGCCCCTTTTCTGTAAGATTATGGTACTGTGGGACACGGGGGCAGGGGACAGCAGAAGGCTGTTGGGGTCACTCAGCTCCCAGGGGCCTACCTCACGCTTTTACAGGGCTGCAGTTAAAAATGAGGTCTGGGCCAGCTCCCTCCCCACAGTTTCAGCCTTGGGTGGGTCATCTCGGGCCTCAGAGCTACTGACTGTGTCCAAGGGAAAGCCCTGAGAGTTTGTGTTTACTTTTTGAGTCCCAGGAGAAGCCTAGCACCCTCTTTGTAAACTGCCCCTTGCGGCTTCAATGCCTTTCATCCATCTCCACTCTCCCGACCGCCTAGAGTCACAGCACAGACCCTGCCCAGTGCCTTAAGAGGAGACATGAGCCCGTGCGGGAACGGGTCTGCCAGGTCCTCTCTGCAAACGTGGGGCCGGGTGCAGGCCGCAGAAGAGAAGGTGGCTTCAGACTTCTCACTGATCGTGTGAAGATCACTTGGCTGCATTTTGCTCTGCATTCCTTACAGACATGGGTAGACGGCATTGCTTTTGGTGATCACAGTCCAATATGCGACGGTTTTCTTTTTTCTTTACTGCTGAGGGGTCTAGAAAGAACCCCTGGAGGCTCCGTCCGGGCCCACAGAATGCCACAGCTGGAAGGGACTGTAGGCATCATCTGGCCCGACTGAGGCTTGGAGAGGGGAAGTGACATGGTGACAAATCACAAAGCAAGTTGAAGAGATGGGACTAGACCAGAGCTCCTCACTCCTGGGCCCCTGATCCAAGCAGCCCCGTCCGTGGGGAGAAACCTGTGTCAGTTTTGGTTAAGTTGCCTCAGGAGCCCTCTGAGGCACACTTGCCTTTGCTTGGTCCTTTCAGTGGGCAGCTGGCTCTGAGACCCCTGGGGTGGGGGTGGGGGGGCTACTGGTGGTTGTGGCTCAGTCCTTCCGGAGCTCTGTAGCTCCTGGCGGGCAGCGAGAGGCACCAAGTGGATGATTTAAGGCCTAAGCCAGATCAGAGGGCTTCACAGAACAGCACTGAGCCATCCTTCTGCAGCAGGGGGCTCAAGGCCACGTGTCCTGTCGTCGCACAGCAAAGGGTAGACAGTGCGGAAAGGCAGACGTCTGCTCATTTTTAATTATCTCTTCTCCCGCCCCCTCTGGGAGAGCACCGACTGGGCTGCACCTAAGGATGGTATAATTTGACTCCATAATTGCTTTTGCTTCCCAACCCTGGGAATCAATGGAAAGGCAGGGAATGTTCCTCTTCTCTGGCCAGATTCTGTTCTTTGTAATTCAAGCAAGTTTTTAAAAATGTAAGAGGCAGTGGTTGGTCTGCAGGGTTTAGCCAGTTAGGCAGTCATGTGGCAGATACAGAGAATAAGGGCGACCAGAGGACCTCACTAGAATAAACGACGGCAGCTAAAATTCGTTGACCACTTAGTATGTACCAGGCACTGAGCTAGGTGGGCTTTTTATATATGTGAGATCCAAACTTCACGATAACTCCATATGTTAAGTATTTTATCTCTAGTTCATAGATGAAGGAGCAAGTTCAGAGAGAAAAAAAGTTCTTTCCCAAGGCAATACAGCTAGTAAGAGGCTGAATCAGGATTCATAGCATCACCATGTGGGACTAATATTTACAGGGAAAGGGAATGAAGTGACCACCTTTCTCGCACAGAGTAAATAACTCTCACTGGCATTTTTAGGTTGGGAAACAGCTGAGTTAGTAGTCCAGTCTGACAGCCAAGTGAGTCTCACCAACCACAGCACGGAGTGTGCGTTACCCTACACCATCTGCTGTGCTAACCAACAGGACTGCCTAGGCCTCTTTCTCTTTAGAGAGAGGAATGCCTGTTTCTTCCTTCCTAAGCTAGATCCAAGTAAAAGAAGGTTTTCGTTTTTCCCCATAAATATTCTTGGGTCATGAATCTTAATCCGTAGTTTATTTTTCTTTCAGTCACGTGTGCACCCACCACGCTGATCCAGCAAAGAACACTGCTCACCAGTCTAGCTAGACAGAGCCCTTTGGCCAGAAGTCAGTTTCTTTGGGCCACATACATTTCCTGACAAGGTGTATTTGTTTTTTAGTGGTGGAGAGTCAGAGGAGCAAGTCCCATTCCCGGCCCCCCCTCCCCCCGCCCCCTTGAATACTAACTTCAGCATAGGTCAGCTTGCTTTCATTGAGTCCTGAGCTTCAATAATCGCTCCAGCATTTTTGACTCAAGTTTCCAGGGAACTCTGCACCTCGCCTCTTCTCTCCTTTAAGAAACAATGACCCACACCTAGTTGCATCTTGAAAAAATCTCAAATTCTCTAAATATCTTGATTGCTTTCTCATCAATAATTATGAAGAAATTTCTATTTCTCTTTTCTTCTTTGTCCCTTCTTCCAGCCACCAACTAGATGGAGAGATGGATGGGGGACTGTCTGGCTTGCTGACTGGCTGGCTGGGGGGCTGGCTGATGGGTGACTGACTAGATAGATAGATAGATAGAACCAAAACTCTGAAGAAACTTAAGAGCTGGAGCCTTGACTCCTTGAGACTGTACATTCTGATCCAGAAAACATTTATTTGGCACCTGTCAGATGCCAGAGATTTATTATACCATTTAAAACTCAGTAGCTCTTACCAATATCAGAAATGAGAGAGGTGACATCATTAAGCTCCTACAGATACTAAAAGGCTAAGAACAATATCATGAACAGCTTTATGCTAATAAATTCAATAGCTTAAATAAAATGGACAAATTTTTTGGAAGATAACAAAACACCAAAGTTCATTCAAGAAGAAAACAGATAATCTGAATAGCCCTGTATCTGGTAAACCTTAATAGCTCTGTGAGGTATAGGTATTAATGTCCTCATTTTACAGATAAGGAAACTGAGGCTCAAAGAGGTGAAATCTTTTCTGCTCAAGGCCACGCAGCTAAGATATGGCAGAGCTAGGATTCAAATGCAGGTTTTCTGATTCTTAGTCCAGTGCCCTTTTCTAGCGTATAAACCACATTGCCTATCAAGAATGCAGCTCCTTATTTACTGGAAAATTGTTTCTTCCCAGTCCTCAGCCTCCCACCCCATCCTTTCGTACGCACTCTGTGTTTTCATCAGGATGATATTCATTGTATTTGGACTCCATGTTCTTTTTTGTGTGTCTGGGGGGACAAAAGAAAGAAACCTCCTCCACCAGCTTGCACTCGAACCAACTTGGAAAAAGCTTAAAAGCTGTTGCAGATGTACAACTTAAAAATGTGAAGTTTGTAGCTTTAACTTTTTGTAATAAAAACTAATAACACTGGCTTACGTGCTGACTTGAAATGCTATTTTATAAAGTTTGGATGTAAATAATCAATCGAGGTCAGCAGTTTGTATATGTATGAGACATAGCTTCCTCCTTTGCACCTTTTTAAAATTTGAGGTGCTTCCTGTGTGCTTTTATGTTAGAATTGTTGTTTTTCCTACTTCCTACACATTGTCACCTGTGTCTTAAATAAACTGTCCTTTGGAACACAAGACTTTCTTCTTTTTAAAAATGAGATCCTCCTTCTGTAGCCTGGATAATGGTGTTGTGAACCTCTATGACACTGACTCTGTCGTATGTTTATTTCAGAGTCCAAAGCTGGGGGAGAGGCAGGTAGGGTAGGGAGTAAACGTTGACCGTGTGCCCGGTCCTGAGCCAGTTGTCAGGGACATAAAGATAAACCAGACAGTTCTTGCAGACCAGATGGGGAGTCAGCCAAGCGCACACGGAAATACCACAGTAGAAGGAAGGTCACCGACCGTGGACACAAGAGGAGGGAATGACAGTCATTTCTGCCCAAGGAACTTTTCTGGAGGAGATCGTGCATCTTGAGACGGCCAAGGCAAGAAGCGAGGAACCGAAGACATCCTGGGCAGAGTGACCAGCCTCTACGGAGGGTGTGGTGTGAGAGTCTGGACGTAGGGCCATCATGACATCCTTCATCCCTGTCTGTGGGTGCATGGACCTGGACCAGCCACAGCCCAGCATTCAGAGTGGGAGCTGCCCTCCTGTGGCCCAGCCTTATCCAGAAATACTTTTCTAGCCTGACCCACCCTGCCTTTTCTCAATCTCCAAGTTTACACCAAAGCAGGGAAGGAACGGAGTTAGACCAAAAAGTTAAGTGTGGGTCTCTTGAGTCAAATTGCACTACAGTGTTTAATAGTTCCACAGTCTATTTGCATAATGTCATGCTATTCTGTGAGCCCTCTGGGAGTGGGGGTGATGTGTGTTTCTCGTTGCCTAATTTACTCCCCTTACTCCCTGAAAGAGTCAGGGTGTCTTCCTTCCTAGTGCCAGGATTGATGACAGGTGTTCCCTATTGCTCAGACTGAGAACCTGTGGCCAGAAGACAGGAAGAAGAGATGAAGTAAATTCCCATTTACTAAGTAAGCACTTACTAGATGTCAGACATACTGCCGAGCCTTTCAGTTGTTTCATCTTTTTACACAAACTCTGAAGAATCTAGTAATAGACCCTTTTTTAAAAGTTTATATCTTGAGAGAGAGCGCACATGTGAGCAAGTGTGGGAGAAGCAGAGAGATTGGGAGAGAAACAAAATCCCAAGCGGGCTCCATTCGGCCATTGCGGAGTCTAACGTGGGGCTTGAACTCATGAACCATGAGATCATGACCTAAGCCGAAACCAAGAGTCAGACGCTTAACTGAGGCGCTCACGCACCCCTAGTACTCTACCCTTTCCGTAGATAAGTGATTCTAGCAGTGTGCAGTACCGCCCACTAGGGAGCGTGCTAGAAATTCGTCAGAGTGGTTTTGCTGTGACCATGATCGCAGGGTCCGGTCAGCACTTAATGGGCAGAGGCGGGGATGCTAGCTGTCCTGCAGTGCATTCTGGGACAGTCCTGCAGAGCACCGCAGTCACACCCCACTGGACATTTCTGTTGGTGAGAAACTTGTTTATAAACACCTTATTTGAAACCAAACCTCACTGACCTCTAAACACAAAGTACTTTGTGCAAGGTTTTACTATTAATTTTCCAAGAATGAACTGTGTGGAATGAAGGGACACTTGTGGTTTGTTTCGTGTGGAGCTTTCCCAAGAGTTGGTCTCCATTTCAGAAAATCACATCATCTGCGGCACTGGTGCCGACAATATTTGAGTCACTAGTGCAATTGTAACGCTCATTCATGGCGAGTCTGTGTCATGTGTAAATGAATAAATGATCATTTCAGAGAAGGATGAAGTGCCGTAAGGAAAATAAAACAGTAATGAGATTGTGGGCAATATATGTGTGCGTGTGTGCGCATGCGTGTTTGCACACACGTGCAGGCACAAATGTGCAGGGAGAGACAGCTTTATATAGAGTGTCTAGGCAGGTCTCTGAAGAGATGGCTTTTGAAGTGAGACCTGAATGACAGGAAGGAGCCAGCCAGCAAGGCAGAACCCATGGACGGAGGGCATTCCATGCTGAAGGAGCAGCAAGCACAAAGGGCCTGAGGCCAGGACAGAAGTCTGATTTGTTGGAAGGATGGGCGCCCTGCCTGAAACAGTGCACAAGGGATAGAGGGGGTGGCAGTGACATCAGGGAGGTGAGTGAAGATGAGCATGTGGGGCCTTGTGGTCCATGGGAAGGGGTGTCATTCCTGATGAGACCAAAGCATCAGATGGAACCCCCCCCCCCCCGCCGCCCTGTGCGATGTAAAAGATACTTACTCTCCACCAGCATCCTGCCTTACAAACAATGCGACTGAGGCCCGAGGTTTGGCCATGTTGGGTCTTGATTCCAACTCAGACCTCCCAACCCCCCTACTCATTCTGAGACCCTCCCCCCCTTCCCCTGCTGTGGCTTCAAGTACAAGAGTGCATCTGGTTTGTGATGTCTACACCTGCAGACTACTTCTTTTCCCAGCAGCCTGTGCTCAGAGTTGCTCTACCATTCCCAAAGAAAGCCAGAGTGCTGTTGGATACATTTCCTTCATATGTGTTTTTTATTTTCTTCCTAGCATTTATTGTGCCAGGCATTTTTCACATAGGTGACCTCACTTGAACTTGACATCAACACTCTGAGGTGTCGGGGTCATTATATCAGGACAAGTGAAGACACAGGCTGAGAGAGGCAAAGAAACCCAACCAAGATCACACAGCTTGTAAGTAGCAGAGATTCAAGTACAAGTCCATTTGGCCTCAGGGCCCATGTTCTTTCCTCCTCACCATGTGGTATCACTGTGTTCTCCCATCCTAATCAAGTAATTCCAGTAACGCCCTACGAATGAAGCCAACACAGGAATGCAGAGCTGGGACGGCAGCGGGGGAGGAGACCTGATGACCTCCGTTGAACCTCTGGATCCACCTGAGCTTCAGCCACTGTGTTGGATTCCTGTCACTTGTAACTGAAGGACTCCTTACCCATGCAAGGAGGTAGAAGATGGAGCCGGGAGGGCTTTGGATACCAGCCTGACAGAGGTTGGAGGTCGACCTTGAGACATGCTTCTTGCAGATCAAAGGTCCAGTTCAGGGTCACGTACCTGGTAAGTAGCAGGGCCAATGTCAGAACCCTGACAATGTCTGACTCTGGGAGCAAGGTATGTGCAGCTCCTCCCCTTGAACTCATGAATTTCCTGAAGGTTCTGAACTCACTCCGTTTGAACAGGTTAATCACCAGTCTACATCTGATCTGTCCTCTTCTTTTCTAGCAGACCAGATTCTGAAAGACACTGTTCCTTTAATCTCAAAAGGTCCTGCCTTACAAGGTTAGTGTCTCAACTTACTAAATTTCCCAGAGAATTCTTTCCACACTCAGGCACAGGGTCTGGCTGGCCTCGAATATGAGGTCTGGCAGTCATCAAAGACCATCCCAGCAAGCACTTGAGGGCCATGTCCAGCGCATGAGAACCCATGCTTCAAAGCCACTTCCTTCAATGGCGCCCAGGGAGTTAAGTTTGCCAAAGAGAGTGAGAACAGTGGGATGCGGTGCCCAGTTGAGTACAGCCCCACATTAGGTGGCCTGAGCTTGAATCCCTGATGTGCTGTTCTCTGATCATCCGACAGTGGGCCACAGTCTCCCCAGCTGTCCAAAGGATTATTCTACTTCATTGTTGCCTTTGCCTTATAGAGCTGTTGTGAGGAGCAGTTGAGACAAGGGACGTGAAATCATGCTGTAAACTGTAGAGTCCCACAGGCGAGTGACGACTGGTTATTTTTATTAGTTGATAGGTCACCTTCACTCTTGGGAGCCTCAAAAAGTACCTTAGGAGGCAACCAGGTTCCCTTCCACCCCCTTTCTCCAATATGAACACTGCTCTTGGCCCTTATTTAAGCCAAAAAGCTCTTCTCACAGAGAGACTCAGGTATGACCTTGGACCTCCTTTGGTCTCTGTTTTTTGATCTATGATGTGGGACTGGGGAGGGGGAGGATCTTAAATTGGATCCTCCTTGAGGAACATTAGGCCTCACTAAGCAGGGAAGTCTGTACCCCAGCATCACTGGAAATGGGGAGAAACTACCACAGACATCACATCCCAGAGCCCCAGATGACCTGAGCTCTCCCATGTGCCCTCCAGACCTAGTGCCCCAGTTACTCCTGAACATCTCTGGACATCATCTCTCCATTTTACAGAAGATGAAACTGAGGCCCAAGAGAGCAAGACTGTAAGGGGGATAACTATGGGGTCTGTCCAGTACTCCCTTCCTTTTGTTGCTCGACTCCCACACCAGCCGGGGGTTCACATGGTGGCTGCTGTGTTCTCAGAGACCCAAGCCTTTGCCACAGTGGAGTGATCCAGCAACCTCATCCAGAACCCGGCCAGTCAACTCCTCTGACACAGTTTTCAACCTGGAACTGGGAAGGAGGAGGTGCCACAAGATGTGGAACCTAGAGATATTGGGGACTCTGTTGTCTGCCAGGTTATACAGATTCAGTCAACGTCTGTCTTTCTCTCTCATTCCTGGTTTCTGTTGTTGCTGAAGCCAAGCTGCCTACTTACCATTCCCACCCGGTGGTATATAATAAGTATTTGTTGGTTTTGCCCGCTCAGGATCCCTTTCCCTCATTTTAATAAAAGCACCCCACATTTTCTTCAGGATACTACGCCTCCACCATCTGTGTCCTGGGGAGACTGACAGTGGGAGTTCCTCCATTCCCTCAGCCCTGGGGTGGGCATGTGACCCAAACTGTCCAAGTAGACTGGGTCCTCCAGGAAGTTTTAGCTACAGCAGAGTGCTATCACTCAGGCATTTTAATGGCAACGCCTGAAAAAGGTGATTCATGGGCTCTAAGTACCTCCATCCCCATGTTGCCCTCATTTCTATTTGTCTCAAAGCCTGGTTGAGTTTTGGTGGTTTTTTTCATGTTTATTCATTTTTTGAGAGAGAGAGCGCACAACCAAGGGAGCGGCAGAGAGGGAGGGAGACACAGAATCCAAAGCAGGCTCCAGGCTCTGAGCTGTCAGCACAGAGCCCGATGCGGGGCTCGAACCCACGAACTATGAGATCATGACCTGAGCTGAAGTCGGATGCTTAACCAACTGAGCCACCC